AGATGCTCAGTCAAAACCCTTTTAACAACTTTTTCAAAAACTCTGCTAAAGATGGAAGTAATACTAACCGGTCTATAGTCCCTCGCATTCTTTTTCTTTTTTTACAGTCCCTATTCCAAAGAAATCGGGAGGTTTCTTTGGAACAGGGACTATATAGGAATGTTTCCACCTGTCGGGAACCTCCCCCCGGACGAGGCTCAAGTTAAAGATGAATTGTAATGGTCCAGCTATGGATGAGAGAACTTTCTAGATAAAGCAAAGCGGAATACCATCTGGAGTTACGGAGGAACCATTTTTTCCTTGAAAAGAAGCTCAGAGATTCATTGATACTAAACCGCAACCAGTCCTGCATTTGAGGAAACGAATCCGACCATTTGTAGCGCATCCCTACGTCATTAATATTTTTCACAAGAAACTCCTCAAATACTTTTGCGAAAAGCTCAGCCTTATCTGGATCAGAAACAGCAGTAACACCATCTGGTCCTAACACAACTGGTACAAATCCCTTAGATTTCGTTCTAGATCTAACATATTTATAAAGGGCGAACTTGTTCCCATGTTCAATGGTTTTTCTTTCCACTATACTGTAAAACTTATATAATTCCCTTTCAAACCTATCAGCTTTTACCCTGTAGGAGGACCAGTCTGCTGATTCATTAGTTGTTAAAGCTCTCTCGTAGGCATGTATTTTCTTATGAAAGTGTGTTTGAAGAAAAGGCGGAAGACTTAGCTCCCATGGTAGTGACTTCACGCATGGGAACGAACCTGTGGATACACTCATTAAGCGTAAACAGCAACATCTCATACATCGTTAACGGTAAGATTATTGAAGGAGCCGTACCAGTCTCTAGAATCTAAATAAGAACAAACTACATCAAAATTGGTTTTTTGAAGTCCCACCTGAAAACTTTCTTCCTCCTCAATTTGGGTAACTTAATCGAGAATCCAGTAGATGCATGATCGCTAGTCCCAATGGGGAGCTCTATCTTGAGCCCTGTGACAAAAGATTATCATTACAGAACAAAAGGTCTAGAATGTTAGCATTCCTAGTGCCAGAGCTGACCAATTGATGAAAATCGTTATTCCGAATAAGGTCCAGGAATCTTTGTGAAACACCCTGTGCCACATGGTCTGGATTTGCCCAGTCAATGCCAGGGAAGTTAAAGTTCCCAGCAAGCAAGCAAACCGGTGTTCCGGAGCACAAACCACTTAAGCATTTAATCAAATGATCACTTCTATCACTGGGACAACTGGGAGCTCGATAACACAAGACGATTCTAATCTTTCTGTCACTGGCAATTAAATCGACCGAAACTAACTCATAGCCTTTTGGGACGACTTCCGTAGAAATTAGAGTAGGGCATAGCGAGCATTTAATCGAGAGAAGGACTCCACCACCCTTTATTCTTTTCCAGTCACATCTAAATTCTTCATAATGAGAATCTAAAACTTCTAGCAAACCGGATGTCTCAACGTTGGATTTTCACCAAGCTCCTGTTAAAGCGATGATACCATAATCAATTTTCCCAATCATAAAGAAAAGCGAATGCATATTTTTGGAGAATGAGCGAATATTAGCCAGCAAGCACTTGATACAAGATTGAGAGCCAACTGGTGTATCAAGTACATGAAACTCATGTTGCAAAGGGCTAAAGCGATCAAATGTATTCTGTAACTTCATACAATCAAAGGAAACGGGTTCAACAGCAGTGCATGGATCATGCAACCCAAGACCACTTAAGAGTTTCCCGAATGAGTAACAGAGCTAATTGAGTCAGCGTAGCACTATTGATCGTTTTGTTTACAATGCTCGACGAAAGAGTATGATTATCAAAACCAGAAGTAAGAGAATTGTCAATCACACCAAAAGATTCACTACAATTCACTTGAGAATTAACAGTAGATTGACCACGAGATTTGAGAATTGCCAGCCTTTCAGCTTTTTACCGTTCCCGTTCAGCTCTAGATAAAGATGGTCTTATAAAAATATCTTTTTCCTGAATGTATCTGAGTTGAGTCTGAGTTTAACAACAACGCGCAAAATAAGAACATGAAAACACCACTTTCAAAAGTCTGGGCTTGTTAGGCACTAAGCCGGCCATCCTGTATACTGCCACAGGACGACATTCAATGGACAAATAGTCAAGGATCTGCCTAATACAGGAAATATCATGCAGAACACGAGTGGATGCAATGGGAGCGGAACTCTCTTTCACGCCTATAACAACAACTGAACGCTTACGTTCAAAATCCATATCATCCGAGGAGGAAACATACTTGGCCGTGAGAGGCTGTGAGGACAACTGAGCTGGAGTACTCTCATAAGAAGGCAATGATTGTTTCAAAGCAATAATCTGAGATCTCAAACTAGAAACTTCATTCTCCAACTCACAATTTCTCTGACAAATACTAGCATTCTCATCCATAAGCCCCTTGTTTTTCGATAGTACTGAAGTCATTTGATCCTTCAATTCCATCGAAAAACCCATTGCTGCCTTCAGATGCGCAGGTATTGACGAATCTCCACTAATCAATTCTAATGCTCTACCGATATCCGTATCAGTAGACGGCGAGCTAGAGACATCGGCTCGTTGTTTTCCCACGTCGCCCCTGAACTGGAGGCCCAGCGAGAGAAACCATAACCAACTAGAAAAGTGAAAGAAATTCAAAAAGAACCTTTCACTGTTGTTTATGCTACACAAACTTCGATTTATTACACTTAGCATTTACAAAATGAGCAGCCACGCAGAAGTATTTTTTGCAACTCCATCAGATTTATGACGATAAGAGATCCTCATATTCGAAATACGCACGAAAATTTTACCTTAGCACTATTATAGATCTTTTTTTGATTTTTGCTTCATTTCATAGGTTCATGGTCATCTTGAGAATTCAATTGCTCTATTACGGAGTACGGGAAAACTCGAGGGAGTTGTATAGGAGAGGAAATATTGGAAAAGTATTAGTTCGATCGAAAAGTTTTAACGGCGTTTTTTGAAGAGTGCGGGATTTTCTATTTTGACCTGTTTCTATGACCTATCATGTGATAGTTGTAGGACATATTGGAAGCTCTTCCGCAAAAGGTATGTAAGGGCGCGTGCGCTCACCTGAGTTAGAACACCATGTCAATTTCACAAGACCATCTTCGAGACATCATCTTTTATGAGTGGCACTGATGCGACAGCAACAGTCCACAACATCAACAGCGCATTGGGGGAGAACACCACTTCCATCGCTACGGTTGATTGCTTGTACACTCGTTTGAAGGAAAGAGACACTCCGCTAGAAGAACAGCCACCGACGCGAGCCTAACCGGCTTCCCCCCCCCCCCCCCCCAAAGAAATTCTCTTTTGCTGCTTCTGGGTTTCAAAGGGAATGCTGTCGAGCAAGGCCATACCGTCACCACAAAATTGGAGGAGCCAGGCTAAAACTGTTTCACAGCCATCCTATTCACCTGATATTGCCCCCTTCAGAGCAGCACTTGTTCTCGCCCCTCAAGGCTGTCCTAATGAAGAGACAATTTGTCAACTATGACCACCTTAAACAAGTGGTTGGTGACTACATTGACTCCCAATTTTCTCAGTTCCGAAAGAAGAGAATCGCTGACCTGCCCGTTAGGTGGGACAATGTTATAACTGAACATGGTCACTATATTGTTGATTAGCTTGTATTGTTTGCTGAGATTTAAAAGCTAATACTCGGAAGCCATATCCACCATGTTCCGCTGTCACCACTTCTCTTTAGGAGATAAAGCACACGTTCGAATTTGTCGCGATACATAGCTTAGTATGAGGAGCATTGAGAGTCAGATCAGACGATAGCTAAGCTTCAAATAAAGGTATTCGGAAAATATCAATATCTCGAGAGCTTCCACGAGGGCAGGATTTTGGAGAGGGGATTGTCATGGTATAGGGGGCCTTTTGCAATGAAGTCGTGCTGGAACTTGCTTTCGATAGACTCCAGTGATCACCAACAGTTCCTGGAAGGGCACCTGTTGACATTCCTCAGCCGGCGGCGCTGCTTGAAGGCACAGTTCACGATAATTTAGGGTCTCTCGTTTGAGATTGTTTGAGACGAGTAATGAAAGAGATAGCCCAAAACAATGTAAAAGTGGCGAGGAAAACGGAAAATCGGCACGTTCATAAAGGGGTAAACTTAGGAATTGGACAAGAATTTGGTGAAAGCAGTTGGATGGATTTGAAAGAGCTGTTCAAATGCTCGTCACTGCAAACAGCTGGCTGCAGTAAGCTGCCTTTGTGCAGGGGTGTCTGGGTCCCGTGCGTACGGTGCAGCCTCTACCTTCTACAGCGCTTAAAGACTTGTCCGCTTCAGGTGTGTACTACGGTCAAGAGCCCTTATTACGCCATATCTTGGCCGTTTCCGATCCGACAGCGCCCCTTAGGCTATCCGCGGGGTTTAACAGTTCCATACAGAGGGGGCCATCTCATGAACCATTTTTGACCTGAGCGGTGCATTTAACTATGTTATCCAACAGAACAATATTGCGATCTTCGTTAATCGTTTTATTGCATCCCCATAATAATAAAGTTCTGCCTTGGTCAGTTTGCAGCTCTGATCGCATGGAAAATATCTGCGGCATCATTCTAAGGACGGTTCACGCGGACAGCCGCCAGTTCCAAACAAAGTTTGGAACCTTGTTCCGAGTATGCCACGGAGACTATTTTGTTTTTTGCTCGAACAGGGAGGATCCATTGAATACTAATCGTTCTTTTATCATTATCATTGAAAAATTGTCCAAAATCCTGAAGTGATTCATACTTATGGAGCGGGGCAGAAACCGAAAAGCATTCATGAAAATGTTGAGGTAGAAGCTGATTCAGCCTGAGTCCGCGGGTGGGGGCCATTCAAGGTGGTAAATCGAAAATTCCAAAACGTATCCTCTTGCCCGCTCATTCTGCAATTGCAAAATTTTAGGATGATATCGAACTTATTGAACGCGTTGTAATCCTGTCGCATTCCATCGGCGTTCCCATGCTGCCATGCTCCCTCCTATACCCACTTCTAAGTCCAGATTAATAGTTTTCGCGCAGGCCTCGCCCACTGTACACGATGTTCAACCATGCAACCTACCATCAGCATACCATCAGCATTCTCTTGCTGCCGCCTGTGCCCCTAATAAACTTGAAGGCTTCAGGTGTAAATTAACAATTTTTGCGCAAGTTTCGCCCTCTTTGTCCAGCCCTGAAACGGGCCATCGACGTTCACATCCTGCCGCTTATTCGAACGCTCTATATGCAAGAGGAATTTGAATTTCCGGTCGAACACTAGACACACACACCATGCACACAACATACATAACACAAACACATCGGCACACAAATAAACACACAGACAAACCAATAGACACATTTGACGCGTTATATATATGGGAAACTTTATTAGCTTACGTCTGAGCTGTAACTCCTTCTCCAGAGCTTGAAATGGGCTAAGAACAATTTGTGAATATCTGATCAGGGTCTCCACAACTCTAGTATGCTCGAAATCCAGGGATACGCGAGTGATCTGAAAAAGGGCCCGTCATAAAAACTCCCTATATTCTCGAATTCATCCAGCAACCGATAGTAAAACCATTGTCAGCTGGGCTTGACCTTCATCGAAATTACTGTTAAAAGGCAAATCCTATATAAGGCCCTACCCGCGTAATGGTGAGGCAATCTTACCTTCGATTCACTTCTTGATTGATGGCCCGTATCAAAGATGCCTCGAGGGCATGTGTGTGTGTTCCGCTATACCATGATCGAGTTCCCTGGGATAACTCTGAATTTATCTTTTTTGTCACTGACGGACAAATGGCTGGTGCAAGATTTAGGTCTCGTAATTGCATAACACTTCGTGCTTGCTCCGCGAGATGTTAGATAGTGTGCTGTGCAAGACTTCATTAGGTTTCGTACTTTCCTAATACCTTGTGCTTGCTTCCGCGAAATGTTAGATAGTGTGCTCTGCTCCTGGGACTTTCTGAGCACCTTAAAAATTGTCGGCAAAAATGCGGAATTGACATCGGGGTCTATGTGTGATTCTTGTCGCTCGTGTTCGTTAGGGGGGTGTTGGGCTCATTTTCCCTGTTTTGCTGCCTAGAAACCGTTTCGAACCTCACCTCATCATAGAGTCGATCAGAGGATCGTAAGGGCTGCAGATACTTTCCGCATGACAATTGTGGAAATGGTCTGTGAGGGTATGAAACTTAGGCCCAATTCCGGAATTGAACGAGCGCAGCCAGATAAGGTAAGCTTAACGCTAATGAAGGAAGCGCTCGGGTGATCTGCAGTGCATCAGATATACTTGTGCTGCAATACCTTAACCGCTCGTTTCTGCAAAACTACAAAATGTGCTGGTGTTGTCGCTCGCCGTTCTTGGGATGTTTCATTAATCATCGCATGTGAGGTGTGATGTGTTTTCATTCAGACTGGAAACACAACACATCACATCACAGTTTTTCACATTGCCCCACTTGAAGTCATGTTTCTGTAGATTCTGCGAGATTAGGAAAAATTTTCGCTTGACTGTCAGTAGAATCATCTATCGAAAAGATTCATATAACAATGTTGCTTCCTTCATGTGCCTCACTTCGTTTCGACAGGTTTTTTTTTGGATAGCGGCATTCAATATCGATTGTATCTTTCTCTGAGCCTCACTTTAGCCCTTAATCTTCTCGACGTTGACAGACTCACTTTATGGAGTAAAAGGATGGGTGGACTTCTGCAGATTGGTTCGGTTCTAAGCTCGCAAAACTTATGTTTATTCGAGCGAAGTTAGGCGCCTGATTGCAGCATTGCAGCGCTTTTTCCGGGGTAAACATATCCATTATTACGCTGCCCAATATGAAAACATGACACAGATGACAAAAACAAGGATTCTGTGATGTAAGGAAACGTGCTGTACACATACACGTCGTCTTACACCAGAGAATTTATATCTTTGTCATATGTGTGTTTCAGACTTTTTGTGATTGTGGCTACAAGTAGAGGAGATAAATAGGCTGAAGTGTCATTGTGAATCAAAAGGTGACCATAATGAACTAATCCAACGGTTCGGAGATATCACTCAATCAGAAACGGCATGTCGCTCCATAATCACGAGATCGTAAGTGGATCGCGATATTTCCACGTTTCTAATTAATTCTTGCAAACCAAGGGATTTTCGACGAATGAAGTGTGATGACTCTTCCCCTTGCATCGTCTATACGCTCCGCGACTGCAGACAATAATTTGGTGATCAACAGCTACAATGAAGTTTTTGTCGTCTGATAACCCCAGTCGCTGTTCGACGATAGGGGCCCTGGGAATCTGTTCAGAGTCATAATTACGACCGTGATGGCAGAAGGACGAGTGTGCCCTTCGCGGTTTTTTTTCATCCTGGATGTTTCCACAGTAGGTATATAACCTCCAATGAATTCCCAACTGTAATACAAATCTTGGTTGCTTGTGTGTTCCTATACGATGTTTCCATTTCAAGAAATCTTTTATTTCGGAGCGAATTCCCCGCTGTCCAATTTCGCCGTGATCATGCTGCTTTCATTTGTCGTACTGCTCGCGGTATTTTTTCCGTTGAACAATTCATTACTCTGGTCCATCAGTAATAGGAAGAATATTCCTAGTATGGGCAATTGGCCCGTGCAAGTGTGCTGCAGCTTCTGTTAGTCGATTCCGTCTTTGTTGTTATACTCCTCCCTCAGTAGTCTGCGTCATAGTTGTCATGGTCACGTCATAGTTGTCTGCTGCATTTAGGAGTTCTTCCATCGCTCCTTCGAGGACCTCTGTATGGCGCCGAGCAGGTAACTCAGCTTCTCGATCTGCTGATAATCTTCCTGTGAATGGTGGCGTTGAAGATCCCCAAAGAAATCGCCTGATAGTTGTTCTTGAAACTTGGGAGTCGGAAGAAGGTCGGGACCCAACTTTGAGCGCCTCACTTGAGGTTCATTCGGATTTCGGCGTATTCACATTTTGCTCTAGAAGCAAAAGAAGTTTTATAGGTCAGTTCTGATCTTCGAGGTAAACATTCTCACACTTCTGTTTTCTTCAATACTTTCTTCAATTTCAGTCATGTGATTTCGTCTAGTGCGTGTCTCATCAGCTGTTTCCAGTTGGCTACCAAGCGTCACTTACAGATTTTTCATGTCGGACTCCGGTTCTTTACATTTCTGATGTAGCCGGCGCAATCAATTCTGTTGACCTGCGTAATCGCTACAGTCTTCTGCGGGGTCTGATGGGTTCTTCATGAGAGGTTTTTCTTCATGACTTTCGCTTAGTTGACAGAACTTCGTGGAATTTCGACAGATGATAGAGTGGTTAGATTAGGAGCGGCACCGGCAAAGTCAGACCGTTTAAGGGCGAAGTACCCTACATCAAAATATTCGAGTGTTTTGCGAAGCGTTTTTTGCATTGGCAGTTAGTTGTCTTATAGCTTACTATCGCATGTTTCCTATGACTGTTGTGCTTTTGAGCTCACATGTGGTTTGGCTTATGCACCAATATGGAGATTCTGCCAGTGTATGTCAGATGGTTCAGTAATCCTACTCCAGTTCGATATGGCGTAGTAATATATTGTGCAGACCACAACTGACAGTCATTCTAGAGGGCTTCAACGAAGCGGCACCTGGAGGATGAGAGATATTCTGTCCTCACTTCGACATTGACTTCGCTCCTCAAAATTAAGCTGTATATGTTTGCGTAACGACGATGTCCAGTTGTAGCTTTTCTGCTGTTGTCGATCAGTGGATTCAGTTTGGGATAGTGTATGTGGTTTGTAGGATTTATCATTAGTTCTCGTGGATTGCATAACATTGATTGGCCACCTTGTTCCATTGGATTATATACTGTTACCCGTTTCGTTCTTCAAGAATGATGAAACTGCACAGCGAGTTCACTTTTTTGGATATTACTAAAAAGGCATTTCTACAGCTCTTATACTCTTACTATTGCGATCAACTGAGATTATATTTTGTTTCAAGCACTTATTTTTTCAGGTGGCAAAAATTTCGAATTCTGTGGAGAATTCTGTTAAGGCAGTCCCCTGATGTAAAGGTGTGATGAACAGTATTTTTTTTTGTACCATTTTCTTGAAGGTGTATGTTGCGTTACGCAGACATTTTCAACAGTAACGATCACAGGACACGACTCGTGCACAATTTCATAGCTCAGGCCGGTACGCTCAGCCGGCTTAACAATTCAGAGGCGTCAGACTAATTCCTCCTGAACGCTATCAAATTCCAGTTCAAGTATCGAATGAAGATTACCGAGAGGAAGCACTATCATGATGAGTTTATTGAAGAGAGAATCAATAGAGCAAGGGATCCAAGAGTCAAGGAGTTCTGGAGTGAAGTTCAGAAATTGGATACGGATCTCACAATCTCTGAAAGCGATGCCTTCGAACGAGAATTCCAGGTTAGCTCCAGAGCAGAAGAAGTTTTTACAGAATCGGGATTTGGAAAAGGTAGATCAGGCTGTTGTTTGACTATTGTTGCTGGTAAAGAGAAAACTGCTTCTTCACAGTTGTACCATACAGCGATGAGGTAACAAACAGAATACTTGAGCTAAAGCACCTCAGCACGCATGCTTATTTCCTAGAAAACCTTTGATTACACCACAATTTTGAAGGTGACTAAGGTTGTGTTATAAATATGCAACTATACATGAAATACAAGGTACAACAAGGTATGAGTCTCGACCACTTTGCGAATCTGGCTGCCTCTCCTTATTCGTCTTCTCGTGAACTGGATTTCGCGATTAGCAATACACACTTCTAGCAGTCAGCAGGTGGGCGTAGCGCTTGTATCATTAGGAGAACTATGATTGTAAGACCATCTGCAATATCAAATAATATATGCATGTGGATATCAAATTCATACGCCACCACCTCACTAACGCTCAGATGTTCCCAGATCCCATCTCCAAATTGCTCTTAATTTATTGTATATGATTTTTTTAGCATGTAATATTGGCGGTAGGGTTTGTCCCACTTTTGAATTTCATATATCTGCTCTCAGTCTGACGGCTTATAAGTTGCAACGCCAAACAAGGTTATACTGCTTCTCACAGTAGCACTCAACTGCTTAATGCTTCCCCTTTGAAATGAATGGAGGAACCGAGGATGAACAAGCTGTGCCAATATAATCACATGAATACCTGCTTGACCCTCCTCATTCAGCACCTAGTAAACAAGTTGCCAGAACATCACATTGTCTGCAATGAAAATTGAATCTGCTCGACCAACTTCCTCCGACGAGCCCATAAAGTTTGCTCGAGGGAAACGTCGAGAAAAAGCTTCCAAAGGTGCTCACGAAGCTGATACTGTTCATCTGATCGGGGGTACATGTGCTAGAACATTGGCGACTGCTTGATAAAAGAGGTATGCTACCCCAGTATCTACGGGCTAGCTATAGAGTCTGGATCGAATTGACGATTAGTAGTGAGGATTTGTCCGAAAACATGACACGCTGCACCGCTCATTGCAAGAAAGGTGAAGAATGAACTCGTGCAATATGGTTTGGCATAGCTCTCAATCCCTTTTATGATAAAGACTTGGCTCCTTCTGGGAGTTGTTATTGTTGTTCAATATAACTCTTAACTTCGAGGAACAAGTTTCAAGACACGTTCTAAAATGTGAATTGAAATGACTTCTTGCTTTACCAGCCTGCATTTTGAAGAAACGACATCAACAAATGCCTGAACGACGGCAAGAAGTAGTGGACAACACTAGACTACTTCTTGTCATCGTGAAGGCATTTGTAGTCGACAATGATGGATATATTTAACCGAGTGTATCTTGATAAAACTCGCTATTTATTAATATGACAGAAGTTTTCTTCTAATCGCACACAAACCCTTCAAACAAATGGAGGCAATGGGTCTGCTATAAAACTTAGGCTCGACCTTCCTAGTTAGCACATTGGTGGCATTAACATGAATGCTCTCCTCATGGTAATGTCACCCAGCTGAAGCAGCTTCTATTAGACTATGCTTACCTATTTGAGGTGATTAGGAAGGTATTCCTAACAGATTGAAGGCTCGACTGTGGGATAGTATTAAGGCGGTGACTTGGCGGTAGCTTTCTTAGCCGAGATATACAGACGCAGTTGCATTAGAACGCTTCTCCTTGCCGCACTGTAGTTTCATCAATGAATGCTTCTGTCTGTTAGTCTGTTATATTCTGGAAGAGATAGATGCATTTTTTGGTCAACTAAATACATGATCGGTAGCAAAAAAGTAATGGGGAAAAATAATTCAGGAAGTTTTTCGAATGTCAAGGTGAATTTTCAGCAGTATGCCTTCACCGGAATGATACAGAGCTTATCTATAAGAACACCATAGTCCATTGGGATCAAGCTCAACTTTCCAGGCAACGAGTGTTGTTAGTTACATCCCTATCTGCTGTGAAAGTCCGTAATGATCAGGGTGAGTGATGAAAATAGCACGCGAAATAGCTCTAGCAGACGGCTATGATACCAGCCGCCTGCATGGCTTCGACAAGCGAGATGTACACGAGAAATGAGGCAGCTCAGCTTCACTGTGTTCAGAACCATAGCCTAGGCCGTGTTCGAGCTATGTGAGAGCAACAGAGGTCGGGAGTCTCAATTAAGCCTGCTGAAAGGCATCGTTTGTTTGTCAGACACAGGCCACAGAGCCCAAATGAACAAGAGGATATGATAACACAGTCGCTCCTGATCTTATATGAGGTTGATTTCACCGCGGTAGCTTCAGACATAGGCCAACTTCAGGTGTTATTGATCAAACTATCAGCTGATAACTAGTCTCAAAGAATTCAAGTGAGATGCGATGAGCAGCCGGCCCACTTTCGATTCCATTAGTACCTTGTTAGGTATTGAAGTTGAGTAGGGTTGCAGAAGCTTGAAGTCGAGTGCTCACGAGGACCTCCGCATTCTCCGAATCTGCAAAGGCAACCTTGCCAAAACAAGAGCGTAGTAATTTTTTGTACAAACTTCAGGAAGAGTTCAATCAAATCTCACTACTAATACATTTCTCGTAAATCGCTTGTGGCGAGATTTTACCCTCATTAACATTTCAGATGCTCTCGCAACTTGCTCCCGATCAACGGAAATTAATTGGACGACTCTGTCGGTGACTTCGCTCATGTTCGTATTAGGTTCGACAAAGTAAGAGAACTTATCACTTCCAAAATAGCACTTCTGCCTCATTTACACAGTAATATACTTGATGCGTTTTTCACAAAATCTTGATAACTTCTAACACTACTGCTCGATGTGTTTTTGAACCTATTGAAAGCTCTATATGTGGTATTCAAACTACCCAAATAGAAGCTCGGCCACTGGAAGTATTGGTCATGGCCTTTAGCAATGTTGCGCAAAATCACCTAATTTGGAGACCTGCATTTGTATTGGTCATAGTGATCTCACAACATTTTTTTGTTACATGAATTGATGAATATGTGCCGACCAATATGTGATGCTTGATATTATCACCAACAGATGATTAGTAAGAACAGGAGTCGTTTTTATAGTGAGGTTTGATTAAATAGCCCCATTATTTGAGAAGAAAAACCCAGTTATTAGGTTGTAAGCGAAGTTCTGGCCGTTTTTTCAGCTAACTTTCAAAAAATTATAACTCATCTCGGATTGAACATTTTTATCCAAAGTAAGCCTCTTTCGATTTTACACATCTTTTCCAACGTGATAGTTGTCTGGGTATCCCATTCTTATAAGAGCCCGGAGATCTAGATTCCAAGAATTCGAGAAAGGCAGCTTCCATGTCACCTTGATTTTTCAATGCTCATCCTTTACAAAGTTGTCCAAATCTTTGTATAAATAAAGTCAGTTAATAACAGGCCTGGTGAGTATAGTGAATGAGGGAGAGCTTCGATTCGGAGCTCGTTTAAGTTCTGGAAGACAGTTTGTGCCACATGCGGTCGCGCGTTGTCGTGCAAGAGCAGTGCACCGTGGCGACTAAGTAGTGCTGGCTGCACTCGCCCCAGTTTCGTGTACATCTTGTGAATTTGATCACAATAGAACTGTGCGGTGATGGTTTGACCTGGAGGATGAAAAGCATAGTGCTTTGATCCATGGCTAGACCACCAAACTGTGATCATTGTCTTCTTAGCGTGTAAACTTGGTTTAGGAAAAGTTTTCGAAGGCTCATCCACATCTACTCACTGGGCAAAACGCTTCCTGGTACCACACAGGATTCATTTCTCATCACACGTTACAATACGATGGAGAGTAGCTCAACATCATTTCTTTTCACGAGCGAATTTAAAATCTCTAGGCGCTTCAATTGTTGCTGCTCCGTGAGATTGTGTGACACCCACTTGACAAGCTTCTTCACCATTTCAAGCTGCTCGAGGTGGGCAGCGACGACTGTGTGGGAGATATCTTCTTGGCAATCTCTCTCAAAGGTAAAAATGATTACTGAGTTCTCCCCCTAGGAAAACCCAGTGGCCCCCAAGGGTAACAGGAAGGAACTGTCAAGTCCGAAAACTCATCATAGGGAATAGTGCGAGCCCCGTTACCGGATCGCCCAGACTTTCCGCTCCTTGATCGATGTCTTTGTCAGACAAGTGTTAAAACAGATTGCAATATTAATTTCAGGAGCCACACACAATCAGCTGATCGCCGAGTGAGAAGACGGTGTTCTCCTCCCAATCTTTTATTCTATGCTAATCTTTTTGCTGCTGCGATTCTTATTATAATTTTTTTACCTCGGAAGGCTGAAAAAGGTGTGCTATTCTTGCTGCTACCAAGGTTTTTTGTCAACTTTGCTCATGGGTGAATGCACTTTTGCTTAACGCAGTCAGTTATCCGCACCAGAATCCACATGTAGGTACCAGCACACATTGCATAGCTCTTCCCAACGCCCCATTCTTCTTCATTTTTTTGGTCTCATCCTTGTCCAGCCCCCTTTTTATACCCAAAATTATCGTGATCTGTGTCTTTGAAACTTTGCGAATGAGGAATTGAAAAGTTTCGTTCCTAAATTAAACGAAGAAAGTCTTAAGTCCGATATCGCAAAAACACATCAAAGACATCCCAATAGAGAACGTGACAAAAAATGACAAATATGTTCTGCTGAATTTCTAAGGTCGATCGTGGGGAAGACGATCTTTAAAGGACGATCAGAATAAGACGAAGTTACCTTGGTCCGTAAATTTTGATGTAGAATCACTTTTGACGCATGCAGTCTCGACCCACGGCGACAGTGTGAGACATATTTGACTTATTCTACCCAGCTCTTTATGTGATTAGGCGCGACTGACCTTTCATGCTTACTTGGCTCTCGAGGTAGACATACCTGATAACATATTTGGTGCGACCTTTTCCAAAATGTTAATAGTGCTGTAAGAGAATCGACTACGAATGTTTCTTTAGAGCGTCGATTATCAGAAGATGCGTGTCATTCCATGTAGGCTGTGCGACCAAGACCATGACGCCTGCAAATTGGATGTGATTGAGGGGGAGTACGGCATATTCTAGGCAAGCAGGAAACCATGGCAAGCGGCATCAAATCTCATAGACCTACACCGCTTTCGCCAGGATCACTATTCTACCGAGAAAGGGCTAGACTACTGTTTTACACCGGTGGGATTCACGCACATTCCTATGCACGCTCTAGCCCTTTCTTTGCGGCTGAAAATCTTTTCGCAGCCTTCCATGAACAATACGAGAGGCAGGTGTTGCATGAGTTCTGCTTCGTCAAGTTAACAGCATGCTGAAGATGGTGACATGGACCACGTGCTTACACTCCTAGAAAAGTAGGCTGAAACGGGCTGCTTCCTTTCACTGTCCCACGTATGTGTGCCTGCAATGGGCAGATGAACACATTTCACATAAGATAGTCGAGCTTCAGCAGTTTCGTTGTTTTCTTAAGACTTTCTTCGCTTCACCTTGGAAGGAAACTTTTCAGTTCCTCATTCGACGAAATTTCAAAGACACAGTTCACGATAATTTTGAGTAATCCAGATCATGGCGAAAAATAGAAGATAAAGCGGGAAATAGTGCGATGGAGACGAAGAAACTGCGTAAATCAGTTTGTGCAAAGTAGAAAAAAACTTCAGGTAGTCGTTAAGAAGGGAGGGGATGGACAAGTGAGACAAAAAAATGAAGAAGAATGAGGCGTTTGGACGAGCCATACAATGTGTGCCAGTGCGCACGTTTGTGTTCTGGTGCGAATAATGATTACAGTAAGCAAGAATTCATTCATCCATAGGCAAAGTTAACAAAAAACCTCCGTAGTAGCAAGAATAGCACAGCCTTTCGAGGTAGATACTTATAATAAGGATCGCAGCAGCAAAAAGAATAACAGAAAGTAAAAGATCGGGAGGAAAACACCGCCTCATCACTCGGCGTCAGCTGATTGTGTGTGTGGGCTCTAGAACGAACATCGCAATCTATTTTGCCTCGACACTCGTCCGAGGTGACATCGATCGAGAAGCGGGAAGTCCGGGAAATTCGCTACCGGGCTTCCACTATGCCCTAGCTCTTGAGTTTTCTCTTGACAGCTTCCTTCCTGTGACCCTCGGGGGCCACTGGGTATTCCTAAGAACTCAACTCAGAAACCAATTTTATCGTGACAGTACCTTTGAGCACAAGCCTCTCTCGAGGAACTACAAGATTCTGTAAAGAATGGCAACAGTACCAGACGATGTGCATAAAAACAAATATCCCGGAAAATGGTTCGAGCGAAGTGATTGTTGCTGTGTGTCACTAAACCTTCTACCTTCACAATCGCGAAAATGAAATAGCTCGGTGCGAAAGGAATATGTAAGTAAAGAGCTTCATGGATTGCCCGGTTTACGTTTTTACCTATCTCTAATCCCCTCTATCTTTCGTAATGTTTGCCTAGATAGTTCTTATCTTGAGCTACGCTTGCGGGGCTATTATCTCCATAACTCTAACTAGGCCTTACTTGTTGTTTAAAGGCACAGTTCACGATAATTTTGGGTAATCCAGATTATGATGAAAAACGGAAGACAAGATCGAAACTAGTGCGACTGAGGCGAAGAAACTGCGTTCTTCGGTGTCTCCAAAGTGGGAAAATGCTTCCAAAAACCATTCAAGGGGGGCTGAACGAGAACGAAACCAGAAAAATGAAGAAGAGTGGGGCGTCTGGACGAGCTAAACAGTGTGTTTCACTGCGCGCGTGTGGGTCCTGGTGCGAATAACAGACAGTGGCATGCGAAAATTCATTCACTTATAGGCATAAATAAACAAAAAAAACCCTAGTAACAGCAAAAGCAGCTCACTTTTTTCAGCCTCTAGGAGTAGGAAATCAAAAAAGGGATCGCGACAGCAAAAAGAAAAACAGAGGAAAAAAGAGTGGGAGAAAAACATCGCCCCATCACTCGGCGATTAGCTGATTGTGCGTGGGTCTTAGAACGAATAATAACAATCTGTATTGTTTCGACACTCGTCTAACGTGACACCGATCGAGGGGCGGGAAAGCGAACTACGGCAGCAACGGGGCCTCCACTATGCCCTAAGCGCCGGGATTGTGGGAGCGAGAGGGTCCCTTCTACCACCCATGGAGGGCGCTGAGTATTCCTAAAGGAAGAACTCAGTAACCTTTTTTATGGTGAACCGCGCCTTTAAATGCCACACTTCTTCTATTTTTATTGCTACACGGATACCAAAAGTTCTATCACCGGCGGCACGATAGAAATATGCCAGATCGTCTCTATTGCAGTAATCTTGTTCCAAAAACACAACATCAATTTGAATGATGCTGTCTGCGAAACCACTCCCGTAACCATGGGAAAGAATGGAGCGAACTCCATGCAGGCACCTTGCATATACGTGTCCAGCTACAAATTATACGAGCTATGGAGGTCATCACGAGTTTATGATATCACCCACTCTTCCAGAAGATTCAGAATGGCGACCGCGTTTTTGGGGAACTTTGCTTCTCCGACTGCAAAGTCACCTCAGAATCCTGTGGTTGTCAGATGTTGATCAACCAAAACGTGCTTCAACTTCAAAACAATTCTACCTCAGAAGTCATGCACGAGTCCTGCTCAGCATTGGATGCTAAAGCAAGCGAGAATTATCCATAGCAGAGCTCTTTCATTTTGGACTGCACACTCAAGACAGAGTTT